CCTGCCGGTTCGGCGCGCCGGGACAGACCGGGCCGGGCCCAGCAGCACTGTGCCGTCCCCAGCAGCACATGAGAAGCAGTACTCTCGGGGCCTCGTGCACGGTTGGCCAGGCCCGGAGAGCCACAGCACCTGGGGGGAGACTGGCTGGGGGAGCAGGCGCCCCCTTGCTGTGGGGCCGGACAGGGCAGGGCAGGGGGGCTGGCTTGAAGCAGGCGGGTGAGGAGGCAGGTGCGGGCTGGCACTGCCAGTCGCCACTGCTTGGCCTCCCGCACGGGGCTGCTCCCCCGGGCCCTGCGGGGGTAAGCAGCTCCCCTCCCCTCGCTTCTGGCTGGGGCCTGAGGGCTGGCCCTGCCCACCTCGTTGCGGCCCCGCCGCCGCTGCCACCACCGCAGCTTCACACTCCACCGCCGCCGCTGCAGCAGCTCCACGCTCTGCGCCGCTACTGCCACAGGCTAGATAAAATGGCTTGGCGGGCCGCATGGCGGCCTGCGGGCCCTATGTTGGACAAGCCTGGCTTAGACCTACTTCCTTGACTCTGCGTTGGTGTATGGGTCCTAGTGCCATCCTCTTTTCCTAAGGCTCCCGCACCAGAACAGAAAGAGACATTGAGATGGTTTTTATGGGGAGCTGATCACCATGTTAATAATAATGCTTTGATATCCTTAGGGAGAAGGTGCCATATGTTCAGAAAGGGATTTAGGAATTAAGCCTTGCATTGCTTAATTCCTGTGAGAGAATGGAGACAATGATCCATGAGCCACATTATAGCTTTTATATTGCAAGCTTCCTGCAAAAGAGCTCTGCACCTCACATTCCTCTCTAGTGTCTCTGTGTTTATGGGTCCTGAAAAAACTTGTGCCAAGTTCTCCTAGATCCAAGAGCACAGAAGGAGTTAATGCTGGAGTCTGGGTGAGATCTTGGGAGTTCCTAGCGTCCAGTCCTGTGCTCTGACCACTAGTCCATACCTACCTCTGTAATTAACTCATACAAGTTAACTCATAATCAATGTGCCTTGTTACTGATGACTTGCAAGAGAGGCCAGCTTCACTTCCAGAAGGTCAGTGCTGTTCCTCTCTTTGGTATATGGGGTTTTTAGACAGTTAGATGTCTCAGGGAGCAGACCTGGATGGTTTGGTTGGATGTGCAATCTGTTTAAAGCAATTGGTTTTGGGGGCTTTCTTAGTCTGAAGGAGATTCTCTTCTTTTCTACAGAATGCCTCCCTCAGCCCCTGCCCATGCTACCGCCTGCAGGTGGTCGCTGTGCTCTCTCAGCCTCGGGAGGCATGAGGCATTCACGAATGTAGGTATAGGTTGGGTTACTTTTGCCCAGGTGCATCACCTTATATTTATCTACATTTAATTTCATCTGCCATTTAGCTTCCCATTTGTACAATTGTGTCAGACCATTCTGTAGTTCCTCACAGCGCACCTTGACTTCACCACTTTGAATAAGTGTTTGGCAAATTTGGCCATCTCACTACTCACCCCGTTTTTCCAGATTACTTACAAATGTTAAACAGCACTGGTCCCAATACAGAGCCCTAGGGAACTGCGCTGTATATGGACTCAATACTCAGTCCATTTGGGGTAGCTTTGTGCTTATCTCCAGCCCCTGCTGATTGGAGAATGTGGAGTGAGGAATAAGTTATATATAAATAAATAAGGATTTTTGTGGGTGATATCTTTCATTGGACAAAATGCATAGTTGGGAGATATTTAGACAAACTTTTAGACACAAAATACTCATCCTCAGGTCTAAGTATCTTGTGCCTGAAAGACTGTCTAAATGTCTCCCAGCCATGCAGTTGGTCCAATAAAATTGCCACTCACAAAGATCCTTGTCCCTCATGTATTTCCTGGACCATCATGTCTACATGACTCCAATACTACCATGTTAATAGGTATGTCTTTATTTGTTCAGGTGTTCAGGTACTATGGAGGTAGATATTGGCTATAAATACCTGTGGAGAGAGACAAATCTTAGGTGTTGAAAAATGGATTTATGGAGTTATTCACTGCTGAGTTAGGAAGGACATACCAGAGTCCTGGGAATGTCCTAAGAACTTTCAGAGGCTCCTTTCCTTTTTTACTTCATGCAGTCCTGAATTTCCTAGCCTTCTTTTCCCGTCCCGCCAAATTATTCCTGGCTATTTCTCCTCACTGGCTCTTGCTCTTCACTGCTTCCATACTCCCAAGCCTTAGCACCCGGTGCTCACTCAAAAACCTCTCTGTTTCTTGGCCCATACATGCATGTTTCTCCATCTCTCCTATGGCCTTGTAGCTATGCAATACTCAGACCTATCTTTCCCAACCCTCTGCCTGTCGCCAAGCTGAGTCTTTTTGAATTGCTCCTACCACCACCCTTCAGCTCTCTCTGCATGCCCTGCTCACCAGCTTAAGGTACTTATTCTTGTTTCCTCAGCCTCTGTAAAATGCCTGATGGCCCTAACTTTCCCACTCAGATAGAGACAGTTAGCTGGCAGTCTGAAGTCAGGCAGATGGTAGGGTAAGGGTGCACTGCCAGTAAGATAAGGTCATTTCTCCTGTTTGTCATCCTATGCAGGTGACAGTAATCTGCAGCTCTCCAGTGACAGGCATGCATGGTGGCTTGGCAATGCACAAAGATTAAAACAAAGACGGCCCCAAAGCGCTGATGTCTGAAGCCAGAACTCAAGGGCACTCTTGCAAGCAGGTTGGCTAACCATTTCTAAAGTTGCTTCTCTAAGCACTTTAACAGACAATAGAACAAGTTTCACTATTTAAAGTGGGTACGGTGAGTTAATTTCTACCCAACAA